AATCATACAAAAAACACATTCTACCCCTCATATTAAACTCAAGTTTAATGTGTTCTATATTTCAAAGTTTGATAACCAAATAGGGAAACTCATTAAGTTTAAAATATCATACCACACAAAAACTCCATAAACTTATTTTATAAGGTTTGATAAAATAATATCTAACACAATTAAATTCCATAACATAAAAATCAAACTAAAAACTCATTTGACCTCTCATATTAAACACAAGTTTAATATGTTCTATATATTATTTCTCAATAATTTTAGATGAGTGAGCACGAACGCTGCCTTTCCACCATTGCTCGTCGTGGGCGTCAGAATTCACGACGGGCCTCAAACGCTGATCGTGATATCAATGATGATATCAATCCCGACGAAGGACAAGCTCTTGACGGACATGTCCAAACTCCTCCCTCCGAACAATCAGACGCTCATATAAGCGTGCATGGGGAGGGGGCATCATCTCATGCACCTCCTTCATCTCGTGCAATATATGCCCCCCCCACTCAAGAAGAGCGCCACAATCCCGGTTCGCTTGAGGTGACACCTCAATCGATCCATAGGTAATAAAAAACTAACATTCTCTAATATAAAATAGTATAATCTCTATATCTAAGAATTAATACAATTGTTTTTATCAATTATCAATTTTTTGAAGCGATTCCGAGGTCTTGAATAGAATCAAGTCTATTGTTTGTGGTCATTTCACCGGGTCGTGGTCGACTTATGATGAGGTTCCGGCGGCCACTCGTGAACTATGGTGGCGGTTGTTCAAGGTAAAAATAAATATTTTTGTTACATTTTAGTAACTTAAATTTAAGAAATGATGATATATCAATGTTTTTCATGAAGGCTTCCCATCGTTGGCATTTTGCCCTAGACCAAGCTATTCTCAAAGAATACAATTCTAGGATTTCTGGGTGGTTGAGACCCACTTTTAGGACCGCCCGGTCTACGGGTAAAAAGCCAAAATTCCTTGGCGATGATGTGTGGGAGATGCTTTGCTGCCACTGGGCTACGGATGCCTCGTTTTTGCTGAGAAGCGAAGCGGCCAAGGCAAACCGGGCTTCTAAGAAAGCCAAGGAAGTTCAATGGCACGGGGGCCGCAAACCCCAAATTCAACATAAAAAAGATCTGGTAAACTCTAATTAGTTAAAATTATTTCCATTCCATACCTTTATGTATATATATATTTTTATTAACTTTGAAATCCGTGTAGGAAGGATCTGGACCCGTGAAAAAACGGGTCACGCCATTGAAACTCATGGCACATTGCTGGACTAAGAAGGGTGTCATGCCGCCTCCCCGCCTTTCTGAAATTGAAGTAAATAATGAAACATAATTCAATAAATTTCGATTTTTTTTTTGATCTCTTATATAATAAATTTTTGAACTTGTAGAAAAAATATGAGGAAGAGCGGGGGAAGAGAGTTGATGAGCTAGCTGATTCTGATGACGAACTTGATGAAAATCAAGATAATGAAGCCATCTTGGCGGCAACCGGAGTTTACAAGGGCCGGGTGCCGCTTATGGGTTCTGAAGGCGTACGGATCCTAGAGAAGGCCAAAGGAGCTAGCTCATCTTCTCATTCGGCATATGATGATCGGGTTACCCGCCTCGAGAAACTATTGGAGGAACGTGAAGCCGAGGCTCGAAGGCGGGATGAAGAAGCTCAGATACGGGATGAAGAGCAAAGAAGAACAAGAGAAAGGTTGGAAGAGATGGAACGCCAAATGCGTGTTTTCAACGCCACCTACCGTCCATCCATGCACATACATCACCCCGAGATGACCCCACAAGTTCCCTTCACGGGCAATATGGGCAATATGGGTTTTGCTAATTATAGCCACATCTCCAACAACTTTCTATATGGATATTATGATGATATCCCGACTCCCGGAGCTCAAGCTTACCGTGGCAGCAGCCGTGCTGGCAGCCGCTGTGGCAGTCGAGGCGGTCATCGTGGTGGCAGCCGTGGCCACGGAAGGCAACCCGATCATCGTGACGAACCTGATGATGCTGATGCTGATTATGATGACCATTGATGGTTTGTAATAATTAGTTTATTAACATTTTAAGGATTTTTAAATTTTGATGTGTTAATGTATGAATATTAATGTGTAATGGTTTGATTGTGTTTAAATAATAATTTATTTGTGTTTTATAATGATGGTTTGATTAGATTATTATTTATTATGATACCTAATGTGTAATGGTGATTAATGATGATTGTTTAATTATTTATTATAAACAATGATTTATTAAGATTATTGTTTAACTATTTATTATTAAGTTTAATTTTTTGAAAAAACGCCTAAATTTTAATGGTTATTATTTATTAAATAAACTTTTGAAATAAATTTTTAAAAATGCGCTGACATTTTAATTTTTTTTAAAAAAAATTTAAACTTTTGTCACGGACTGTTCCGTGACAAAATATAAATTCATTTTATTTTAAATACATAAAACGCTGAAATAACGTATTTTTATTTTAAAAAAAAATGTTTTGTCACGGATGGGATCCGTGACAAGTTCAAATTTTGAATTTTTTGAAAATTTTAAAGCTCCCGCCCACTCTATTCTAAAATTTTCAAATTTTTTTCAAAATATTTTGTCACGGATATGTCTGTGACAAAATTTAAAATTTGAATTTTCCGGACCGTTTCAAATACCCGCCCACTCTATTTTGAAAAACCTTTTTTTTTTAATTTGTCACGGATATTTCCGTGACAAATAATTATTTTTTTTTGAAAAATAAAAAAATTTATTCACAGATGCGTCCGTGACAAATGAAAGACGATGGGGTTCCGGTGAAGTGTTTTGTCACGGACGCTGTCCGTGACAAATCCGTGACAAACAGTCTCACGGATTAATTTCCGTGACAAAAACGTTATCACGCCCCTGGTGTCACGAATTTTTTCCGTGACAAATCCGTGACAAAAAATCATTTGTCACGGATTTTTTGAACTACCGTCCGTGACAAAATCCGTGACAAACGGCGTGTTTTTTTGTAGTGCACAACCCCACACAAAATAATATACCTAAAAAAATTACCATTGCCAAGAGCAAGTGGATGTCTTATACTCTTATTGATGCATGTCATTTTTAAGGGTAATTACCTTAAATAGGACTAAAAACATTTGTATATTTCAAAATAGGAGTATCGTGTTTTTACTTCCAAAATATGAGTAATCACTGTCATGTATTTGGCAAGACCTAACTTTAAACATGACAGTATTTTTCAAGCTTAACAATAATTACTCTTATATTGGAAATAAAAACATGACAATCCTGTTTTGGAATTCTCAAACATTTTTACTCATATTCCGAGAATTTTTCATGTGTTTAGCATATAAAAAAATGTCATTTGTTTAAACTTTCGGAAATGTCCTAACCATTATTCTCTAAACTTCTCAAGGAAACGTTACTTTATTAAACAAAACTTAAGCTTCATTGTGACGGAAGAATTCTAAACCAATATAGCACTATATATAACATCAAATTCCTTACCCTTCATGGTAACATAATACTATCCCACCCCTCTAACAATGGGAGCCCTCGGATACCCTCCTCACCAACTGATCAGCAAACAGGGGACCCCCCCCCCCCCCCCCCCCCCGATAACACTTCAACTACTGCTCACATTCATCATGCCCTCGATCCCCAGATTGAGGGACTCCCCTACGGCACCTCCCAGGATATCAACAGCAAGCCTCCGGCTAATCAACACACGCGCCCTCAAAACAAGGATAGCCTTCGGCATCAGCATTGTACTCCATTTCAAACCAGGGCTTCACATTTTCGATTCATCGTTGGGGGAATTCAGTGCACTCTTTTTCCCTCATTATGATTTTTTCCCACAGGGTTTTTCCTAATGAGGTTTTTAACGAGGCATACCCCCAAAATGAAACGAAAAGCGTCACCCCTCGGTTTCATATTGCAGGCAGGCACTACTCTACTCCTTTTCACCACTTTGCAAGTGCCTCAAGGAGTGGGGGACTGGAGGACCCCTCCGGGAAAATCTCTCAAAATACAAAAAATGTCAAAAAACTCCCGCAGACAGCAAACATGACCCCTCAAGTCCTGACATGTGGGTAACTGAAGGACTACCCTCGGCAGAATAAACAAACAGCAAACTACTCACAACTCTACAAACTACAACGGAACAACGGCAGAGGACAAACACAATTACTCCTTTTCCCTCAAGTACCTTTCGGCAAAAGGAGTGAGGGACTTCTGATGGAGTATATGGCCCAGGAACCCCCGGCCCATAGACTCCTACTATTCTAATGGAGGCTCAATAGGCCCAGGAAGCACAACAAGCCCAAATCACGGTGCCCCAAGTACTAAGCAACCCACGTGGCGCACTAGGGGTGCCTTGGCCCCCTGGCCGAAGGCTCCAATTCTCACAGGATGGCCAAATCAGGAAAACAAAGCTATTGGGAGAAGACGGCGAAAATCAGTAGCCCTCGGCACCTAGAGCCCTCGGTGCTAAGAAGGTCCCCGGTACTTAGAGCCCTCGGCCAATCATCTACAGCCGAGGGCACCTTTTCCGACATAATATCCGCTCCACATGCGCAGGGGATCACCGTACCAAGTACGACGTCTCATCCAACAGCCGCATTAAATGCGGCCACATGCGATTGCCAGCGCCAACCAGTTGAGGTGACCCCTCGGCCAATGGAAGCTTGACACGTGTCCCTATCTGACATTTATTGCTACTATAAATAGCACCCCATTTCCCCGTTGTAAAACACGCTAAAAAGCCTTAACTTACATGTTCAATACACTTTCTCTCTCTTGCTCTGACTTCTATCTAGTTACTCCCCGCAGTAACCCCTCGGATAGATATCCCGGGTACACTTATTCATCAAATATAATGCTCAAAGTTTTGACACCGTTTACATTCACTCAACGAAAATCTGATGTGGCGCCACCTAAGTAAAAAACAAATACATATTTAATAATATTATACGGAGTAATGAATTAGAAAATATATAAAAACTCAAACTGAAAATGCTAAACGCAGCCGCCTATCCCAGAGTCGACTGCTTCGTTCTTCGCATATAAGATTCTGCAATTTCCATTAAAGGTGGGTATTTTCTAGCAGCCCCTGTACCACATCCCTAATCAATCACAAACTAAATTTTCTTTCATCATCAGAAAACTTTGCACGAAGTTTCATGGAAGTTGCTATGAAACAGTTTTTTAAAAGTATTTCTTACTTGGATTTCACCGGCCATGAGATAACCTATAAACCTTTCACAAAAATATATTATAACCATAACTGAAAATCATATTATAATTACAAAACTGAGTAGAATGAAACACTAAAGAGAACCTACCTAATATCATAGATCGCACATGCATAAGTTGAATAATTTGTGTGGTATAATTTTTAGATTATTTTATTGTGGAGAGTAATTGATTTGGATATAAATAAGCCCAGATAAAAAAATATAATTATCTATCAATTTACTGTATTTCAATTAAGTTCTAGTTGTTTGACAAAATTTTGATAGTTGTGCTAAAATTTTGTTTGCAGACGGCAGCTGAAAATGATGATTGGAGTTTGGATGAATACAATAGCGATGATGACAAACAACCAGCGTCTTGGTCACTTGTCACGAATGATGCATTTTCTAAATATCGTGATATAGGTGACTTATCCGATATCTCCGAGCAAGCTACGATAGAATCTTTGATAGAATTAAAGAGCATCCATGATTCAGAATTTCCAGCAACTGAAGATGAAGCTGAGTCTGCGCATATTCAAGCAACTCTCAGGGAGGTCAACTTCAGGTTGGAACAAACATATGCATCTATAGATGATTTTTACGAAGCTGTTAAAAGCTACTAGAAATGAAGCAAGTAGCAGCTCATAAAGTTTTTATGCGAAAGCGGTTTTAGTTTCAGATGATAAATCTCTCATTTGCGTAGCTAAACCCTATAAAACCCTCAAATCGGGGGAATTAGAAAACCCATGTTTTGGAGTGTTTAGAAGGATTTTATAACACCCCAAAACCTTTCCCTCATACTACGTATTATTATTTTAACTCCCAAACACAAATAGGAGGATTTATTTCCCTCACATGTCTTCCCCTCCCCTCCAAAAACAAACTCCCAAAAACACCCTAAGTATAAATCGTGATAGCTTTTCCTGCAAAATCTATCGAGTGATACTTTGCTTCTCTACACTTCGGTTCTTCGACACACTAGCCATGAAATGCAGCAATAGTATAAGCTTAACAGCTTCTCTATTAAATAGGTGCTAAAACCTATTTTTGGTTAATCATTAAAAAATGAGAGAGGAAAAGTTGTTACTAGTAAAAAAGATGCATGTGCTAGAAATGAGGATGTAAAAATCCAAAGTACTCCACTAAAAACCACCATCTTATGAGATCAAGATAAAGCTAAAAGAAACTAAGAAAAGTACACACAGTACACATATATAGAATCCATATAATTCAAAGTGAAGGACAAATAAATTTTGGTGAACATACAAAAATCTAATTTGAAAAAGAAAAAGAAGGAACACATGAAATTGTATAAGTTCTAATCCATCAAATCCCACTAATAAAGATGAACGAATGATTTTCCATCTATAATTTTTGTTTAATCGATTACCTGATTAATTTCACGAAGGACTTGAAATTTGAAATTTCATATCCATTACAAGAATGGTGCACTAAAATTCTAATGCAAATGACCCAAACATGACACAACACTTAATTTCCCTTGAAGAAGCTTTTGAGACTTTACGTATTCAAGCTAATTTTTATTTAGCTAAATTCGGATGCGTGACCTAACTTTGTGGATAGAGAGAAAAGAACAGAGTTCATTAAAAAGCATATGCCGTCATACCGCCTCTTCTTTTGCCGTCGAAATTTATTTGCTCACTATAAACTAACAGGGAGTTTTTTGGGAAGAAGGAGCGAGCGTTGAAGATGACAGGGTGTGCATCCGTGAGGTAAGAAGAATTGACGGAATTTTTGGCTCTAGGTGAAAATGAAGGAAGATACACTATATCATTAGCAACTTTAGTTAGTTGAGGTGGAATACAAGAGAGACGAATCGGACGTATGACGTGGCAATTCTATTTACGATATTTAATTTTCTGATGGATATTTAATTTTCGTTAAATGAATGTAAACTGTGTGGAAACTCTTGAATCCATAAAATTCCTAAAGTTTTCCGTGAGTTTTTCATTACTAAGGTGTAACTTGGTCTTCTTCTTTTTTGCAGAATATAAGGTGACTTTGAGTCTTGACGACTACATTTTCCAACAAAAGATTTGAAATGGAATTTATGTCGAACAACAATTTCCTCCACTCAATCCCAAGCAATTACGTCTCCGGAGTATGAATATTTTTCATTTTCTTGAGAGAGAATGAGAAAAAGGTTTTACTTTGTTGATTTTTTGTATACACTGCTGCATGCTATCATGATGTCTGCAACAATGAATTAATTAAGTCTTTCCCCAACAATTAATTACCTTTCATCCAATCAATCCGAGGCGGCAACCATGGAGAAAAAATGTGGGTGCTGGGCGGTTATGAGGCGCAATGGTAGAGGCGATTCTAGATCCTCAGCTATAAACACCTCTATCCCCACTCGTGGCGTTGCGTATGCTGCTGGTGAGCATTTATAACCGATTGTTAATTTCATGCACATATGGATATAGTGGTACGCATTTGTTTATTTGAATACAAGCTTTCTTATTTTTATAATATACTAGTACTAGTATGTATGTATATTTGTGAATTTCAGACAAAAAGGATTTAATAGTGGCAATTGTCTCAGATTACTTTCATGATGATAGAACCTTGTGTCTTCAGTCTTCTCTTAATAGCTTTTCAATACTTCAAAAGTTCCATTTCATATGTTTATACCAAATTGTATGGTCCGATTGCTTTACAAGTCAAAGAAAAAGATGCATACTTACTTGGGCGATTTAAGAAGGTGCAGCAGCAGTAGAAACACGGCATCTGAATGCTAGTACCAGGGAGCAGCTGAGTGCAGCAGCCGGTGAAGCAAGAGACAGTTCTGGCGATGATGATGGTTGCTGCCTCCCCAATCAGCAGGCACCGGAAAGCGTAGTGCAGTCTCGCAGATCACTACTTCAGTTCAGCTTCCAAGAACTTAAATCTGCAACAGCAAACTTCAGGCCAGGCAGTATTCTTGGAGAGGGCGGATTTGGTTATGTCTTCAAAGGGTGGGTAGAGGAGAGTGGGACTGCTCCAGCAAAGCCTGGCTCAGGAATTGCCGTTGCAGTCAAAAGCTTGAAGGAAGATGGACTGCAAGGCCATAGAGAATGGGTGGTACGTACGCTATTAGTTATAGGAATAAGAATTTTTATGAGTAGAATACTGAGTAAGACTATGGCAGCATATACTTACTAGCTATACATTGTCGGGTAACATATGTAAATAATGCTTCTAGTGTAGTGCAGGCAGAAGTGCACTTCCTTGGACTGCTTCATCATCCAAATCTTGTGAACCTAATTGGTTATTGCATTGAGGACGACCAAAGGCTGCTTGTCTATGAGTTTATGCCGCGTGGAAGCCTAGAAAACCATCTTTTCAGAAGTGAGTTTTTCAGACTCAGCAGTGCATTATTATTATTGCTCATATAGTATGCTTGTTTAATGAGCACATTTTTTCAGAAGTTTTACCAGTTTGTGCTTGCTTACTGTCAGTTCATAACTTATTACTTTTTGCTTTCTTTTTATGGTAAAGTTTGTATGTTTTCAGTTTGCAGAATCATTTTTCTTTTGTTTTCTTTTGTTTCAGACCTCTGCATATTACTTTGGTGATTTTCATCCCCGCCCTTTTTGCTCTATAGTCCCTCTCAACTTTCGAGCAATCTCCGTTTAGAAGAAAGTTACATGTTGCTCACATAACCCGACTCTATACCTTTCTAGATCAATTTTTTCTAGTCAAGACTAAGAGAAACTAATCATTCAGCTTTTTAATATAGGTCGCTTGGAAGTAAAATTTAAGCTATTTTAAAAAAATAGAAACGAGACGGAAAACCTATTGGTCATGCATGTTTTCTTGTTAAAAGGAGGTTGATTTACAAGAAAACAATGTAAGTTACCTGGATGCAAAACCAGAAATAATTGCTGGGGAACTAAAGCAAAATTCATTATATTTGCAGTTCTAAAAACATATTTAGCATTCTTTTAAAATGATGAAAATAGTAATGATGTTTAAACTATTGAAGGGAGCATACCTCTTCCCTGGTCCACCAGGATCAAAATAGCAATTGGTGCAGCCAAAGGCCTAATGTTTCTCCATGGAGGCCCTGAACCTGTGATTTATAGAGATTTCAAGGCTTCAAACATTTTGATTGATTCGGTAAGAAATCTGTGGACAGATGGTGACGAATTATAATTTGGAAATAGTGATGAATATATGACTAAAATAAAGGCGGGGGGAAAAAATGTGACCTTTAGTTCAGCAACAATAATAGTAACTTTAGTGGTCATGATTATGTTCCATTTTATACCGTAGTGATGGGCATTATACTGAAGTTTTAGTCACGTTTCTGTCCATAAGTTTTATTTTAGTAAAAGATCTCTTATATTTAGCGTGTACACACGGGTTTAAAAAGACAAACAATGTACTTCTGCAGGACTACAATGCCAAACTCTCTGACTTTGGCTTGGCAAAAGCTGGGCCTCAAGGGGACAACACGCATGTTTCGACAAGGGTTGTTGGAACATATGGCTATGCTGCTCCAGAATATGTCATGACAGGTAACAATTATCTAAAACTCTCAAGTTCTGATAACTTTTTCTTTTTGGTTTTCAGAGTTATTTGTTTAGATCATTTATGTTCCTGCAAAACACAGTCATTGCTTGAGCACTGAATTCTTATACACACACATACACTGCTACTTCTGCTTTTGTTGTTGTCCTTAGGACACTTAACTGCAAAGAGTGATGTTTACAGCTTCGGGGTTGTGTTGTTGGAAATGTTAACGGGCAGGAAGTGTATGGACAAAAAGCGGCCTAGTGGAGAAGAGAATCTTGTTCGATGGGCACGCCCCTATTTGGCTGACAAGCGGAAAGTCATTCGAGTTGTGGATCCACGCCTCGAATTGAATTACTCAGTCAAAGGGGTGCAGAAGGTAGCACAGATAGCTCTCACATGTCTGAGTAGGGATTCTAAATCGCGCCCATCAATGGATGAAGTTGTCAAGGCCCTCACTCCGCTTCAAGCTCACGCCGACCTCACAGCACTATCTAACAACCCTCGCATCATTAAACCAGGAAGGCAAAAGAACAAGGCTGAAAGGAAGGGAACAGATAATAATCTATATCCCATTATAGGAGCGTCAACAATCTCCCCTCCATGCACCCATGCACAGGTAGCCAACCTTGCAAATAATCTATCTAGTTGAGATGTCGGCTCAACAATCTAAGCTTGAGCAAAACTGTGTCAGATGAAATGCGCTTTCAAGTCAACAACTGCCATGCAATGAAAGCTCTGTATATATAAAGTTCGGTGAACTTGATCTTTAAATATGTTTATCTACGGCACAGATTGGATTCCAAAGCTAGTTGGAATCCATTGGTTTATCTCATTGTGCGGGAAACATTCCATCTTCAGAAGATGCTGATTAGTGTGAAGTTGAAGCCAGAATCATGACTAAGGCAGTGTTTGCTAAAGCTTTTATAAAGTACTTTTCTACTTTTTCCTTTGAAAAAGCTTTAAAACGTTTTAAAATAGAAATTGCTGTTTAATTTAAGTAATTTTAAGCTAAAAGTTGTAAGCTAGGATATGCATAGTACATGCTTTTATTTCCTTTTGCCTTTTTTTGTAAATAAGTCTAACTTTCACAGCACTTTTATTCAAACTAATAGTAACCCATCAAATAAAAAATATATGGAAATACAATCACTTATTTGATATTTTAATATTATTTTTTGGTGAATGAAATGCCTTAATTTTTAGTGAAAAATGCTCTATATTAGTTTTGGTCTATATTTACATAGTTCGTATTATTAAAAGTTATTTTCAAAGTACGTATATTCTTGGTTCTTGGAAGATAGTTTGTATTATATATTTAAAGTAATTTTCCCTTCCTTCCCAAAGCTTTGTACAAGAAACATTGAAATTTGAAACACCCTTCCATTTCATCCCTACAAAGCCTCCCACAAGACACACCTTTCCAAATCTAACACCATTACTCTCAAATTTAATGCCCCTTTTCTTTTTACATGCTCTCTCCGTCCCTTAAAGTTTTGGCAAGTTTCTTTTTTGAATGTCCCACTAACTTTGTCACTTTCCATTTTAAGTAATGAATTTGTGGCTACAATCAATTCTCTCTCCTCTGCACAAACCTCTGCCACACAATTTTTACTTTGATAATCCCTATGCCGGTCAAATTTGGCAAAATTTTAAGGGACAGAGGAAGTATAATTTTTTCTTTATTTTATTAATAGTATATTTTAAATTTATTTTTTTCATAAATCAGCATCATCAGCCTATACAACCACTTTAACTAGAACTTCATAAATTTCAGCAGAATCAGCTGATTCAGCCGATTTCAGTGTTACCAAATGTGTTCATAATACGCTCTAAATGGAAAAACATATGACAAGATATGAGTGTCACAAATACTTAACCTGATCTCTGTGATTTACCGTTTCTGCGTAAATAGAGCATTTTTAGAGTAAATACAATCTAGTTTTCGAACATCGGTTCATTAGGTAATCATCCCATAATATTTCAGAGTCGATGCCTGAAGACGAGTTTTAGAAATCGATAAGTTCTTTCCAACGAGATAGAAAACCCTTCAAACGGAACAAAATATAGCAAGATATGATTAGATCAAATCCTATACGAGTTGGGAGTGAAATAGGAAATGTATGTGAATTTAAGGTTAATTTGTACCTTTTACTTAAAGCATTGTAAATGAAGTTAGACAATAGCTTAAGAACTCAAAATGATCTTTCCAACGAAATATAATATGCTCTAAACGGAAAAACATACGGCAAAATATGAGTGTCACAAATACTTAGCTTGACCTATGTGCTTTAGTGTTTTTAGCGTAAATAGAGCATTTTTAGTGTAAATACAGTCTTGTTTTCGAACTTCGGTTCATTAGATAAACATTCCGTAATATTTCGAAGCCAACACCCGAAGATGGGTTTTAGAACTCGATAAGATCTTTCCAACGAGATATAAAACGCTTTCAATGGAATAAAATACAACAAGATATGATCAAATCAAATTCTACACGAGTTCGGAGTGAAATCAGAAATGTATGTTATTTTAAAGTTAATTTGTATCTTTTACTTAATGCATTGTAAATGAAGTTGAAACAACAGCTTTGGAACTAAATATGATCTTTCTAACGAGATATAATACGCTCTAAATGAAAAAACATACGACAAGATATGAGTGTCACAAATACTTAACCCGATCTCTATGATTTAGCGTTTTCAGCCTAAAAAGAACATTTTAGCGTATATACAGTCTTGTTTTTGAATTTCGGTTCATCAAGTAATCATCATGTAATATTTCAATGGCAACGCCTAAGACGAGCTTTAGAACTCGGTAAGGTCTTTCCAACGAGACTTTGGAGGTGGATGGACAAACATCTTCTCCCTTCCTGGTTGTTGGTAAAACCAGGGCGCTTGAATTATTATGTTATTTTTATTTAAAGAATTCTTGTTTAATTTTCTCTCATTTTAGTAGCAAGTTCAGCGATGTTGTTAGATTAGACTACCATGATGCGGGGTTAGCGAATTTGACAGGTTTTCAAAGGCTAGTCAATTCTATGTCTCACCCCAGTATAGTCTTGAGCTATTGTATTGATTTGTCTCTTGTTACACTCAATAATAATAATTAAAGTCGATCTTCTTCTTTCAAAAAAAAATAATGACAAGGTCAATGTCAATCCTATAAGAATACAATGTTAAAAACAATGTTAGAGGAATAAATAAAATATGGAGTACCATGTTTAATTTGTAATGAAAAACACATCATTGACAATATATTATAGTATGAGGAAAAATGTGACAATGTGATAAAAATATAGCAGTGGCAAAATGAGAATGTCAACATGAGAATAGGTAGCAGGTAAGTACGTTACATGCATGCATGCGGAATAGAATGGTTTCGGAACGAAGCTGGTGTCATGCACACCGGCCTACACGTTGAAGTACTGATGAATATAATGAAGCACCAGCTCAGGCACGAAACTCAATCCCCGATCATGCAATGAATGCCGACTACGACGCCATGCATGCATATATAGCTAGGCCGGATATTCCCATGCATACATTAATTATATACTAGCAGCTAGGTAGCTAGCAGCTAGCTAGTCATATGTAGGCTGCAGTGCCTGGGATACTATGAAGCAAACTGGTACTATACGTTTCATCAAACAATATGTCGTCATCCCAGCTGATGGAAATCAGAGGAGGGTCGCCCCCGGCGGCTTCAAACATCATAAGAGGCGGCGGCGGCGGCAAGAAGTTGTAGTAGTTTGTCGTCGTCATAGATGAATACGATGATGTGTTGCCGCACTGCTTATTATCCATATGTTCCATCTGCATCCATAAATCCATTACCATCAATTCCTTTTCTTCCTCTTCTTCTCTTGGGCCGCTAGGCTTTATTAATTCCGTTTTGTTTGCTGCAGGGTTCATCATCTCTCTGCAGCAGCAGCCCTGCAGGCCAGCTGTTGTAGTGGTGATGGAATTATTATTATTATTGTTATTATTATTAGGTGCGGGTGGTGGTGATGATGATGAAATCATGATATTATTAATGTCATGATCTGGCCGATCGTCCACCACCTGCGGCAGCTGCAATGATGTCTTCTTCATTGATCTCCTCCTTGGACATGACCTGTTGTTGAGATGCGTGTTCCAGAAATTCTTAACTTCATTGTCCGTTCGGCCAGGGAGTCTACCTGCAATCAGCGACCATCTGTTGCCCAGAAGTTTATGCATTCGGATGATGAGATCCTTTTCGTCCGGGGACATCATCCCGCGCTTTATGTTTGGCCTTAAGTAGTTTTTCCATCTCAGCCTGCAGCTCTTACCGCTTCTCATCAAACCTGAAATTCAAATTCATAAACTAATAACAATAAGGTGACAACTCCGGTACCTTTCTAAAAAATGGGGTACCGTACCTATCATTTATTTGATTGGACCACACCACTTTATCATTTGTAATTTAGATTTAAATAATTCAACTGCCACATTCTCATTGGTCTATTTGGACAAATGTATGGTACCTTATGAGTACCATAGAATCTACCTAACAATAATTACACTCATACCAAATTGAGAAAAGGAAAAATGGAACAATTTAGGGAAAATTTTCTAGATATGACTAAAAGATAAACAACTTCTCAAAATATGACTAGAAATCTCCTCTATGTTTAATATGACTAATTTGTAGGTAAAAGACATACGGTGCCATAATTCATCAGGAGTAAAATATCATTAATACCCTTAGGAGTTAGTTTTGTAAAAAAAGTCTTCCTCCGTTTTACTTCTTCAAATGAGGAATCATGCGGTTTTTTTGGTTGGAGTCATCCATACGGATCATACATTATTTCATCCGACTGAATTATAATATTAAGTATTCCGTCCATGCACTACTTTCGCTAGCATTAAAATCTATTTGAACTAAACATATCACAATGAAGGGCAGTAATTGCACATGCATGTGTTGTGTATATTGAGCGGTAAAGAGTATTGGCTCTGGTGCAATATATAGAAGGGCAATAAAATACAGACGAGTATTCATATAATTATGAGCAATAATATATATATATATATATACACACACACATATATAATACAGATAGTAAGTAATTTTTAGGAGTATAGACAATAATTTTACAAGTAGTGAAAGTATATCTATGGTGCAATATAGAGGGGCAGTAAAATACATAGATCGGTTTTCATATAATTATGAGCAATATATATACTTCATATAATATAGGCAGTAAGTAATTATATTTTAGGAGTATAGACAGTAATAATGAACGAGCAGTGAAAGTATATTTACGGTGCAATATAGAGGGACAGTAAAATACATAGACATGCGTTCATATAATTACAAGCAATATATATATATATATAATATAGACAATAAGTAACTTTTAGGAGTATATACAATAATAATGAACTAGCAGTGAAAGTATATCTACCGTGCAATATTGAGGGGCAGTAAAATACAGTCACATGTGTTCATATAATTATGAGCGTTATATATAATAATATTATATTTATATTATGAGCAGTATTTAATAATATTGTATAGGCAGTAATTATTATGGCTGGAGGGTTTGGAATGAAAACAAGGTTCCGTGTATACATCTCTCCTCTAAATTAATTGTAATTTAAGTTATTCAATTAATTGTTATATTATATGTCCGTATTTTTAGGAATAGTATTTGTTATGCATGTGTAGCCGATCGATCGTTCATATCATATGTGAGAAAATAGGAGAAAGACTCTTCATATTTATTGATTAGAGGGCAACCGTGAAATAAAAACCAGAAAGAATATTCAATAAACTAATAGCAGTTACCATATATGAATAACTCCTATCCTTATTTTTAGGAAGATCAATTTGAATACACGTTTTGCTTTATTCGTGCATAATACAAGCGGTTAAATAGGATTAATAAATGAGTTCCTATATTTAAGCTTGAGGGTAGCCAAGGAATAAAAAGAACCATGAATGGCCATGTATCATATATTGAGAATCATAACTAACAAGTCATACATTGAGAAACTTAGGTAGTTTTAGTCATACGAGAGATAATTTTCTCAACAATTTAATCTTAATTAGTTAGTACAAGTGGGCGGAACAAGCTAGAGTTAGTTAATTAGGGCGTCTCTTAAAATTTTGTCGCTTTTCACTTTAATTTCTCTTTTAAGTAAATAATTTGTTGTTTGAGTTAAGTCTTTCTTCTTTTACAAAACTCAATCACCTCACACTATTTACTGTATTAATGTTTCTGTACCTATCAAACTTTAAAGGCAAAATTTTAAAGAAAGGATGGCTGGATTGTAATAGATGCTACTCGTAATAAGCAGATGTACGAACGCAAGTGAATTAAGTAAGCTAGGAACAATTTTAATCTTTATTAGTACAAGTGGAACTAGCTTGAGTTAGTTAATTAGGGTGGCTAAGTACGTAGGAAGATGCTCCATTGGTCTCTTAAAATTTTGTCACGGTTCACTTTAATTTGTCTTTTAAGTAAATAATTTGTTGTTTGAATTAACTCTTCACAAATGTCATTGCTACATCAATTTGTACCTCATTTTGTACTCCCTCCCTATATTTGTGGATCACAAAGGCACTTCATTTAAATGGAACAATTCATGTGATGTATTGAGCTTTTTGTGAACCACAAGTATAGGAAGGGGATATAAATGGGGTACCAAATGGGATACGTCTAGCAAAAATTCTTTGTACAAAACTCAATGAGCGCACAATGTTTACTTTATTAATGTCTTTGTGTCGGTCAAATTTTTAAGGCAAAGTTTTAAGGGGAGGATGGCTGGATTATAATACTACCTCCGTCCCAATTTTCAGTTAAAGGTGGTAAACTTTGATCAATTATTTAAACGAATATATCTATGCAAAATTTAATAATTTTATACTTTTATGATAGTATTTTTGACAAAAAAGATTTTGATATCATTTTCATAATATTAATAGTTTCGCTATATAAACATATCATTGGTCAAAGATAGACGTCATTGACTTGAAAAATCAAGTTTGGTCGACTAAAATGAAACGTAGGGAAGGTAGGTGGTACGGTAACCTGATTGGGTAGAGATGGTAGCCCAATTAGCTTCCCCGTGTGTCTCCACGCATTTCTTGAGAAGCACATCCTCTTCTGCGCTCCAAAACCCTCTCTTCAAACGGCCGCCTGCTGCCTGCGGCGGCGGCATCACTAATTCTTTTCCGCCCATCAACTGTACGTCGTGTTTAGTTTTTATTTACATGCATATGCCGGCCGGCCGGAGCTGATCCGGCCAGTAGTATAGTATAGTAAATAGTAATTAATAAATAAAGGTGGTCTGGGTATGCACATATATATAGTACTCCCTCCGTTCCTATTTTATCTTCCAAATAGATTTGGCACACAATTTAAGATAGTGGATATTGTGTGGTGGAGAGTTGTACAGAGGAGAGAGAAATGAGTAAGAAATGTTATGAACCACAAATTCTTTAATAAAAAAGGAAAATGGAAGTTTTAATTGGAACGGAAGAAAAAGGAAAATTGGAAGTTTTAATAGGAAAGGAGGGAGTATATAATTAAAAGTTGTGCGTGGGTGTGTACGTACGTTGGTAGCCAGCTAGGGTACGTACGTGGACGGGCGTTCATTTGAACGGTAGATGATCCATTTCATTTAGCCAGACGGGCCGGCCGGCCTGCATCATTCACTTTAATACATGTTTTTCTTTTTTGTAATAATAATAATAAATAATAAATGCAGCTTTTCTGATCCATTTCTAGCTGCTCCACTTCACTTCCTGACCCCACCGAATATAATCTACCCCCCACCCCTCACCCCTGACAAATTATTGGAGCTCCGCTCGCTACCTATTACTCACTCTTATCTACTACCTCCCTGACCTTACCTTAAAATCTTTCCAGTTTGACTCTTTTGTGTCAAAATTTATAAACTTTGACTATTAATTATTCAAAATTCACATATTGTTATGATTAAAAATTTATTTCATATACCTCATTGTAAAACATATTATTTGAATGTTAATTTATTATGAATTTTATAAATATAGATATGTAGATATTTAGAATCAAAATTCAACTTAGAAGATCGTGAAAAGTCAAAATGGGAAGATCTTTGTGTTACGGAGGTAGTATATTGCAAAAGGTCATGCTTGATGTACACAAGACGTACACAAAATGTGTACATTGTCTGTGTACACAGGCAATTCAATATCAAATTCCGCCCTTTTCTAAATGAATTGCCTGTGTACGTAGGCAACGAGGATGATTTTGAGTACAGTTTGTGTACAACTCATGCACACTAAGCATTTTCCATATTGCTAATTACAAATTCTCATTCTCTTTTAATTGATATACATGGGACTTTTGCACTATTCACATATTTTATTTTGATTATATTTTATTAATTAATGTATTATAAATTAAATTTTTTAAAAATACTGTTAATTTTCTTCTCATTCTAAATTTTCAAAATATGAATTTTTTAAATATTTACTGATAGGAAATGAAAGATATTAATGATCAAACTTGTGTATTGACAAACGTGGAATGTTGATCGTTGCAATTAAAAGGGAACGAAGGAAATATATCTTACTTGTAATTTAATTACCAACTCACTAATCCGCCTTCCCGGCCAACATGCCAGATTATGAATTCATTCACCTTAACTTATCTATCAATCTCATAGACACTCCGAAAATCTAAAGGTAATTTGATGTATAATAAGAAGAAATTGATGAATATCTGCACGAGTAGCTTAGTTGGTCGAGTGGTGGAAAAATTGGACCAAGTGACCGAGGTTCGAAATCCGCAGCGGCCATGTGGAGGTTACAGAACCTCAAATAAGGCTGGACCTCTGGTGCACACGTGTATAAGGCCTACCACCGTTTTGCTGACTGAGTCATCGTGATTAACTCCTCCACCATCCTGTCAGGTCAGGGTGAGACGCTTCTGAGGTGAGAGATTCCACCTTTTGGACCAATAAATTGATGAATTGTCAACTAAAATACACGTGAGCCAAGTTTGAGTGACTTCTCTCCCATTTCTATTTCCAATTCCAATTTCTATCCAATTCCTTTCTTCCCTCCTTCAATTCCCACTATTATAGAATTTCAAATTCCTCAATTATATGGTCGGGAAATTAGTGATACTATATTACACTATTTAATATTCCATCCATCTCGTTGAAATGTTCTTGTGGGGAAATGCAATGACGGGTTGAAGATTTGGGTTTGAGGTGTTCTAATTTGTTCAAAAATTAAAACTTTGAACAACAATAAATAATTACCCTGAATTTGCACATACTTAGGAATTTTATCAATCTGAGACTTGAAAGATAGACGAATTATCAATCTGAGACCTGAAAGATAAAATGTATCAGTATAGGACTCGAAAGATGAAAAACTATCAATCTAAGACCTAACATTACATAGGTTTTGATTTATTTAATTTTTTATTAATTCCATTGCTAATATTTGGTGAAATTTTCTTCACAAAAGTTTATTAGTTTAATAAAACTAAATATTATTTAATTTTTTTAAAATAAAAATAGTAATAAATTTTAGGAAAAATTGAAAATAATAATCCCAACTATTGTCGGTCCGCTAACAATAATCCCAACTATTGATTATTTTTGTATAATCCCAACTATATAGACCGTCCGCCAATAGTGGTCCATGACTAGATATTACCTTCTATAACAAGTTAATTTTAAATAGAAATTAAGCGTAAAAATTAAAAGTTGAGATTATTTATAGGGATTACTTGCTATATCTTTTCGCATCCACTTTAGAATTTATTTATAGCCGGTCACATCGGACCATTATTGACGAAAGATACCTAAAGTTGGTGTTGGTCCAAAATAGGACGCTCGTAGGCTTTTAGGAAAGCTACGTACGACACTCAAGCAGGAATTAGGAAAGTACGAATATGGAAAGTTAGCCAGAAAAAGCATATCTGTATTTGAAAATCGAATTGCCTTTTATAGGCGATTACAAATGGTAACTGCCGAACATAATAATGATTAAATTAATTACAACATTAATACGGAATTAAACACATAATTAAGTAGCGCATTGATTGTTGGCCGTTACTCTTCCTGGTTGGCAGGTCAGCCTGGCTGGCAGGCTGGACGCTTGAGCTTCCTCCTGCTGGACTGGACGGTGGGCTTCCCGCTAGGAGGAAGGCTTCTGACCGGGCTGGAGGCAGGCTCCCGGGTAGGCTGGAAGGCAGGCTCCCGGGTAGGCTGGAAGGCAGGCTCCTCGTTGGGCTGGAGGCAGGCTCCCACCTGGGCTGGACCGCAGGCTCCCAGTTGGGCTGGACCGCAGGCTCCCAGCTGGGTTGGTGGTCGGGAGGCTCCTGGCTAGGCTGGAAGGTGGGCTCCCCACTGGGCTGGAAGGCAGGCTCCCAGGTAGGCTGGACCGCAGGCTCCTAGTTGGGCTGGACCGCAGGCTCCCAGCTGGGCTGGTGGTCGGCAGGCTCCTGGCTAGGCTGGAAGGCAGGCTCCCCACTGGGCTGGAAGGCAGGCTCCCCGCTGGGCTGGTCGACAGGCTCTCTTGGGCTTCCGCTCCTTGATTGCCCTGGTTGGGCCGACTCGAGCTCTAGGTTGCTGGGCTTGGGCCCGCTGGTCCAAGTTCGGGGCCTGGGCCGATTAGGCTCTGGGCCAAGTCCCATAACCCCATCACGAGTCCCCCACTCCCTTAGTCGAGTAGTAGACTCGGCTAAGAGGGAGTAGTTTAAGTCAGCTGCCGATTTAAAAATATTCACATATCAAGGAACCATAATTGTAGATTATGTGAATCCCGGAGTTTATGGAAATTCCCAAATTAAATCAGGCTCCCAAAAAAGGCTCCAGAAAAATTCCTTCAGCATCCTAGCACTCCAGCCGTCAGTTTTCTTCCGGACTTCAGAATCCAGGTCAGCTCCCAAAAATTCATGAAATTCATTATTATTATTTCAAAAATTATTTTCGGATTTTATTTTATTATTCCTTCCTTTTCTTTTCTTTTCTTTCCTTTTCTTTTCTTTCCTTTTTTTTCTTTCCTTTTTTTTCTTTCCTTTTCTTTTCTTTTCCTTTCTTTCCTTTTTTCTTTCTTTCCTTTTCTCTTTCCCGATTCCCTGCGTGCGTCTTCCTCGCGTAGCCTCGGCGCCGCAGCTCTGATCCAGTCGTTGACTTCGAAGCTGGATCGGCCGCCTTCTACAAGATGGCGCCGCCATCTCCTCCTCGTCGTCGGTCGCGGCTCTAGGTTCCAATCGCGGCTCTATTCTCGGGCCATCCGTCGGCCTTGCGGATTCCAGTTGGCCGGCAGTTCTCGTGTGCGGCTCGCCAGCATTACAGAAGTCTGGTGGCTGTCTTCCCCAATGGCCGGCGTCGTTCTCGGAGTTCTGCAGTTCTGGCCGGCGGGTCAGCGTCGTTTGAGGGAGCTGGCGGCCGGCGGACGAACTCGAGCAAGACTTCGCCCGGTGAGGTTGATGAAAACCTACGGCTAGTCCTCCACGCATGTTTGTGCCCCTGCCCAGCGGTGCAGCCTTCCAGGTCGGCTGATCTACTCCAAGATCGTGGCAGCTTCCAGGCGGCGGCGGCAGATTCTAGGCGTCGACGCCATCCAAGGGCGATGGCATCCAGGGAAGCAGCTTGTAGGCCGGCAGCCACCCGGGCAGTGGCGGGCCTAAGGTCGGAGTGTCGGACTGGATGCCCCGACTGGATTCTCTATTTCCCGGGTTCTGCGTTGTCCGGCGGTCGTCCCGACGCTTTTCTTCCTCTGGATGGCAGGGTGGTTGCCGCCATCCTCTTAGTTTGTTGTGAGCTGATTGTGGAATCTGAGAAGACTTGCAGGCTGCTGCCTGGCGCCCCACGTGAACAGTTCCTCTGGTGCTCGGCTTTACCCTGGCTAGACAGTGTGGGTTGGACGCGCCGGGAACATTGATCGATAATGGTGAAAACCCTACCTCCCATGTACTCCATATGGGAGCTTCGTGAAGAGGGGAATCGACAAGAGAGAGGCTGACCTCACCCTTACCGATTCACTTTCGTTTTTTTTTAATATTCTGATGATAACTTTCTATTGTCTGTAGGGTCTCAACGCTCGGGATGACCTGCTGAAGATTTTGTTCACGGCGGCAAGCACCAAGGCAATTGCGGGTTCTCATGCCCTCACGGAGATCCCCGAACGTGTGAAGGATCATGAGGACGAGAGAGCCCCACGGCGGGGAGCCTACCTTCCAGTTCGGACTTCGAAGCATGTAAGGCGGCAAGCGCCCCTATCGCGGAAACGGCGGTCAAGGCTTTCCCTCAGGAG